CTTCCAGTCATTCAGCAGCTTGCAGCTCTCTTCCTGCCTTTGCTGTGACTCCTGGTAGGACTCATGCAATACCAGAACTTGCTTGGCATCACTTTCTTTGCAGGTCATGAATATTGCCTGACAGTCAGATCCTGTGAGGCAGCCCCATGGGCAAGAACCTCATCTCAGTGTCAGGCAGGCAGTGCATGGGAGGGTGGAGGGGCTTACCTTTCCTGGTTCCTGCACAGAGGGAGCCAATGTGAAGGGTGCTTGGCATCTCCAAGCCAGGAGCCGCTATGCTCCGGATGAACAGTTGGGTTGAAGTTACCCATTGTTGCAAGGGGGAGGGAATGTTTTAGGTATTACAAGAGCATTCAGAGGACAATGTCCTCAGAGGCAGCTCTCCAGACCCATCCATGGCAGACAGGGACAGAAGACTCATTGATGCAGATACTTTCAAGTGACCTGAAGGATGGGCCCCAGAAGGACCCGATAAGAGTTGTCTTTTCTCAAGTCTCAGTTTAGTGTTTTTAAAACTGTCATATTGCTGGACATGGTGGTGCATGCCTATAAGCCCAGCATTCAAGAGGCCAAAGCCGGAGGGTGAGGAGATGGCTCAGTGGGTAAAGTACTTGCTGTGAACATATAAGACCTGGATTTGGGTCACTTAATACCCACATCAAGCCAGGAGTGATTTGTCAGTAACTCCAGTGCTTCTATGGTGAGACAAGAGAATCCCCATAAGCTCAGGGACCAGCTAGCCTGGCATGTGCAGCAGCCAACAACAAAGAGACCCTCTCTCAAAAAAGGTGGGATTCAAGGACCGATGCCCCAAGGTTGTCCTCTGACCTCCACTCATTCTCATTGTGTGTACATACTCTCTCTCTCTCTCTCTCTCTCTCTCTCTCTCTCTCACACACACACACACACACACACACACACACACACACACACACACACACGCACACACTGAAAAAAAAAACACATGTAATTCAAAGACCTCACTTTGAAGATAAGGGAAGAGAAGCGTGGAGAAATTAGGTGACATGGGTAGCTACTGTAACTCTTAGGGAAATACAAACAGGTACAGGAACGGAGGCACCAGGCCTTTGCTTGGCGAGAGAATGTAACCAGCCCCTTCACTCTGTTGCTGGACAGTTTTCTTCCCTCCTGCCAGATACAGTTTCTTTGGAGCTCTTTAAAAGTCTTTCTTCCCAGCCCTTTCCGTCCATAGAAAACTGCAGCCAGGTTCTATGGATGAAACTTATCAAACCCAAGAGAGCACTGGGAGAGGGGAAAGGCAGGGTAGAAACCCTTAGGAGTAGAAGTGGAAACCCTTGTAAACCACTCACCGTGCCGCCTCTAGCTACTCCTGCTGGGTGGTTCTCTGCCTTCCTGGGGAGACATGAAGCCTGGAGATGTACCTCTGTCTCTCAGTGGCCTCATTCCATTCATGTGGCCACTCAGGGGTCCCAGACACAGCAAGTGGCCCGTTCTCTGAAGTCTGGATAGTAAGTGCGGTTCCTAGCCCAGCTGTAGCACGGGCCCTAGGAGATTGCCAAACACGGGACTCCAGCTGCATCCAGACTTACTGAGGACTTCTGCGCCAGCAAGACCCTAGGCCATTCCTCTGTGAGGCTCAACACAGGCAGTCCCTTGCTGTGCTTCCCTCCCAAGAACTGTCTTCTTACATCGCTGGGCCAAGAATCTGAGACCAGCAGCTTCCCCCTCGTAAATGGCAGCCCTCTGCTTCCCTAGCACCTTCCAAAGTATAGCTTAGTAAAACCAGAAGTTCATGTGAGAGAATGCTTGCTTTGTTGGACAAACACTCACGTTCAAGAAGCAGGTGTTGTCTGTTGGTCTGTGGAATTCCAGGATCATTCCCATCTCAAATCTGGGGATGATCAAGTCTCTGGTATAAAACCTGTGATTATTAAGCCATCCTGCTTTATGATTTAAATGGTATATTAGTACCTGATGCAGTGTATATGTGGGGTCAGTAGGTACCATACTATATTGTTTAGGGAACAATGATAAGACAGTACATGTCCAGTATAGATGCAGTCTCCCCCCATATTTTTGATCCAAAGGTGGTGAATACTCAAATACAGAGGGTCCACTGTACTCAAAAAGCAAAGAAAAATAGTGTTTTTTAGCTACAGAGAGGTACTCCAAAGACCCCCGAGACTGTAAAACTGTCTGATATCTATGCCACCAAGAACCCAAGTGTCTTAGTAAAGGCTAATTTATATCCATTCTTCCCAGACTATTCAAGGACAGAGGTTTGGGAGGTTTCTGAAATGTCAGAGAGGCTGAGGATACAAGTATTCTAGAAAGTTCATCCATGGGCAGCAGTTGTTCCACCCCCCCACCCCTGCCCCGCCTCTCACAATGCTGCCAGAAACATGAGCTTGCTGGTCTCCCAAATAACTGGTGACCTCCTCTTTGCCAACCCTTTCCCAGCCCAAGTATTTTGGTGGTTGCTGCTGACAGATGAAAAAGCAACACAGTAGGCAGAGTTGTTTTTTTAAACTTTTTTTTCTTTTGGTTTGTTTTTAAAGAAACTGCATACATCATCAGAGAGAAACAATAATTTAAATACCATGCAGTTTCTGTATGTACAAAACCTAGGCCACAGAGATCCAGTTTAATTTATTCTATGTACAGCATCTTCCTCATACAGCCGTCATCTATTAAATTAGAACCCTGGAGGGCACGGGGTCGAAGATCACCACACTCACTCACTCCTATACAAAGACGAACTATGTACAGACACCAGGAAGCAACTGGAAGAAAGCAACCTGCTTGGGGAGGAAGAGACTGATGGAGGAAGAAGTCATGGAAGGTGACCCCTGCTCACTGGCTGTGCACAGGGGGAGCCCGGGATCCCATTCATCGGAGCAACACACCACGATGCTCATTCCAAAAGTACAAACACATTGTTCATAAGCAGGAGAAAAAGAAATTCAGAACATCTCCTCACATGGACCATTGTGTTGTTTGGTTTCTCTAACTGGAAGAAAGGCTCACATTGTAAAAACCTGACGGAGCTCTCAGAGCATCTGGGGACAAAGTGATCAGGACTTTGGAAAAGCCAGTTTGCCAATGGCAGGCTCTTCTCCCAAGGAAGTGGAGCTGGGATGGGGTCTTCAGCAATGCCGGTTTTGAGAAGAGAACAAGAGTGGACACATTTCCCATTTCCCCCTTTCTTGCTAACCTGAACCCCACGGTGCTCAGATGGGAATCGAGAGGCTCAAGATGAACTCACTTGAAAACTGCAGCTTTTCCAGAAAGGGATGGCTACAGCCATCTGGCTCGCCTTATTCCCCCCTAATTAATGTTGAATTGTCACTTTTAGAAACAATTCCGAGTCACTTCAGTTATCCTAACAAAGTGGGGAAAACGGTGGTTACGGCTCCCTAAAGACCCAAGGCTTTCAAAAGGAGAGCGTAAGTGCCATCCTACAGCTGGGGAGGCTGCTGAGCCTGGGTAGGAACCACTTGTCATGGCCTTGAAATAGCTGATCCCCAAAAGAGGTGACCTCTTAGGAGCAGGTGAGGCACACTCCTAACTCTGAGCAAGTGACTTCTGCAAAAGGTTGCCCTACGGGAAGTGAAGGAAGTGACGTGGGCATTGTGTCCAACTTCTTCCGTATAGAGAGAGGAGGGCAACTCCAGGGCATGCTGAAGGGAGCAGTGACGGCTGCTGGCTGGCAGCAGGGAGACAGAAGACTTTGGGACTTCTGTTCCCAGGCAATCAGAAGGGCCCCAGAACCAAGGCCAGCAGGGAAGCCAAGGAGTTCCTTAGGACCCCTCCTGGCTGGGGAAGGCCAGGACACCACAGCAGCCTGTTTAGAGGAAGTGTAGCCCTCAGGCCTGGCTGGACAAGAACCTCCACCCAGGACACGTGTCTACTCTCCACCCTAGGGAAGGTCAAGGAAAGAATTCTGCATCTTCCCTCCTACCTTGTGCACATTCAAAAGTCAGTTAAGACTTCCAGGAAGATTGTGTTTACAGCCACACTAAAATCCCTGCCACGTTTTCCCTGAATACCCCCCTGGACATTCAAATAATAACAATGATAATAGAAAGATCCAGTGATGGTGGTGTCTTTGGGCTGGACAGAGGAGTGCTCTGTCCAGATGGTGCCAGGAGAGCAGCAGTTGCATGGCAGTACCCGGAGGGCCTATCTAAGCTCTCCTTTACCTCTGCCTGGTTCCTGGGATAGCAACTGGCCATGGAGCCATTAATGCTCCAGAAAATTACCTGGGGCTTCACTGATGGGTGCTGTGTCCTAAGAGTGACATGGCCCCAACTGGTTTGACAAGGGGACATCTTTTGGGGGCTGGCCAGAATGTCTAGCTGACATCTTTCTAAATCCTGGGTGTGTTGGATGGGGAGTCAGCCATCACCTAGTGAAACCATGGTCACCATGAAAGCTAGGTGCACCACAGGGGTGAAGGCAGAGCCTCTCACCCAAGAGCCTGTGAGCTCTGTTAGGAAGGAAAACAGTGCTGCAGCAGGCCTCTGTAGGGTCTGGGGTGTCTGTCCTTCCCTCAACGAACACCCAACCCTTAGAAGCCCTGTCAACAGGGCAGCTGGAGGCACACCCTGAGGGGGGAGAGAGAGAGAGAGAGAGAGAGAGAGAGAGAGAGAGAGAGAGAGAGAGAGAGAGACTGACTGACTGACTGACTGACTGACTCTCTGGGTAAGAGTAGCAGCAAGGGACACCATAGACAGTCATGGCTAGCAAAGTCTTGCCCAGTGCTAGCCCTGCTAGCCCTACTAGAATGTGGATCTCTCTGCAGAAACTCCTCAGTGAACAGACACAAGAGAGAAAGGTCCTGGAGAGGCGCTGGGACATTGGTCCCAGCTCTGGTCTCCATGTACCCGAAGCTATTAAAATTGCCAAACCACAGCATCACTGTCTCAGAGGTGTTCCAAGGCCAAAGAAAAACACCGGCCAAGTGGCGTTTCTGACCCCAGCCTCTAGTCAGCTCAAACTCATGAATACCACAGGGAACCTTAGCAACAGCATTTATGTGTGGATAACTCATGGCCCTGGGCTTCCCAAACATAAGCTGGTCAATGAATGTGAGCTGAACAGGCAGCCATTATTCCTCACTTTTCTGGAGGGCAGTTCAGTTCGGGCTGGGGGTCAACGTAGATGCTCAGTTTCGGCCTCCTCTGCCCTCAGCACACATGCTGAGGATCAAAGTGCCAGCACAGGCTCCCCCAGGATGAGGCTGAAGAGAAAGTGTGTGTGTGTGGCGTGGGGCAGGGGCGGGGAGAGTGCCAACTGAGAGGTCTTCCTCCTTTCCAGAATCCTCCTCTCAAGGGCCCCCAAAGTGAATCCCCCATCTGGAGCCCGTGTGTCTGACAGTCTAGGGCAGCTGGATTATGATTTTCACCCAGCCACTCCCATGCCAAACCCACTGCCCTTGGCTTCTTTGGACTCGGGGGGCATTAGTCCCCTGTGAGGAAGGGGTTCACTGAAGACTGAACCAATGTGGTGCCTGCTGGCCAATGAGGCAATCTCTGGACTGTGTTCAGGTAGAGCCCTGCTGGGGGCAGGGACACCTTTCTGTAGCAGAAGTGGTCACCATGGTGTTCCTGCACATAGAATCCTGATTGTGTTTCTTTGTTTCTTCTTCCTTTTTCTTTTCTTTTTCTTTCTTTTTTTGTTTTTTTTTTAAAAAAGGCAGTTCAGATTTTTACATCATAATGGGGAAGTGGACAAATGCCAGCACTTATGGTTCTCATAAATTTATGTTTTGAAGACAGCAGAGCACTCAAGGGTAATCCCATGGTTAAGGTCGATGAAACCTGGGAAATAAGAAACTTCATCAAGGTCTAGGGGATGTCAGAGGTCCCATCCCACAACCGCATTTTTTCATCCTCAGATACTCTGGTTGTGACAGTGATATTCCAGTGTGACCTCCTACCCATGGCGTAAACTCAAAGGGGGCACCCCAAGTATTTGAGCTCCACGGATTTTACCTAGGGACCAGAGAAAGTTTAAATTTGGAGTCTTTGGAGGCCCAAACTGGGGGACTACACAAGGGCTCCTGCATGGCAGTAAGATGGAGTGTTTGAGTCAGGCAGTATGTATGTCTACAAGTCCCTGTTTCTCTTAACCACGCTTCCTAAGGGCTGGCTACAGGTGTGCCCGGCCACAGAGAGTGATTAGAAAAACTAAGCCAGTGGCTTAGTTACTAACTGACCATGCCTACACCCACATATTGAATTCTTTCTGTGTCTCATTTTTCCCAAGCAACATCAGACAGGACTGCTTGGTAGAAGAACACAGGATAACAGCACACTCTTTAGTGGTCCCATGTGGTATTTTGGTATTCTGGCCAGGTTTGGCTTCTGCTGACTATATGTTGGCAACATTCTTATCTCCCCAGCTTCAGTTTTTTATAAAAACTCCTTTGGTGTCATCCAACATGTGTCAGAGTTTTTATCTGAATGAATTAAGAAACAGAGGGTGACTTTTTGCCTGGGCCTTCCTTAAACATTTTAACATTCTTTGCCTGAAGTTTTGTTTTTCTAACTTTTGTTGTTGTTGTTTTTGTTTTGAGACAGAGTCTCAGTGTGGTGCCCTGGCTGGCCTGCAACTCCCTATGTAGACTATGCTGGCCCAGACCTCAACAGAGGTCCATTTACCTTTGCCTCCCTAGTGCTGGGACTAATGGTGTGTGCCACCACACAGGGCCTCATTGCCTTCTTTTTACCAACTTAAAGGTAGACTTGTTGTTGATCTATGTCTTATCTTCTCTCCTCTTACCCACAAAACCACTTGGTAATCCGGGACAAATGAGTATTTATTTGAAAATAAATACTGACAGAGCTGAGCATGATGGTACATATCTGCAAAGTCATCATCCAGCAGGCTGAGGCAGGAGGATTGCTATAAGTTCTTGGCCAGTCTGGGCTACGTAGTAAGAACCAAGCCAGCTGGGTTTCTGATAAAAATAAAGTAACAGTAAAAAAAAAAAAAAGGGAAAACAAACATTGCCATGTGGTGGTGGGGAACATTCAAGGTGGACCCATCAATGCCAACCTTGTCAAGTGTCTACTTAACTCATGGGCAGACCCCATCAGTACCAACCTGGTCAAGTGTCTACTTAAATCATGGGCAGACCCCATCAGTACCAACCTGGTCAAGTGTCTACTTAACTCATGGGCAGACCCCATCAGTACCAACCTGGTCAAGTGTCTACTTAATTCATGGACTTCCATTTCAGTGCTCTTAAACTCATTGAGTTCCTTCCGGATTGCAGCCTGGAAGAGTAGCAGCTGGTCAGCATGTTGAAGAAGCGGGAAGGCCTCCCCATTTGTCATATCTAAAATATTTTTGTTCTCTACACAACTACATAAAAAGCCACCAGGAGTATCCTTTAAAACCTTCCAGGATTTCTGTTCTTTGGGGATACCATGAGGTTCTAATGGAGCTGGATATAGTCAATGAGGTCTCTGTGCCCCATGCTTCCCACGGGGTTACAGATGGCACAGAGTGACTTGGCATCACCTCTCTTTTGCAGTTCTCCTGCTGGGTGCCTTAGAAGGTGTCTTGACACAGAGAGACAGTGATAAGTCTGGGGCTCATGTTAAGAATGGCTCTGGGCCTAGTCCAGTGTTACTCTGTCTGTCTGGGCACAGTCCCCCGATGTGCTATGGTGCAAACTGAAGGGTCTTGTGTCAGAACTCTACTTCTTAACGCCACAGTAGAGTGGAGGGGACCTTTCAGAGGCCATCTGGTTGTTAAGAGGGGCCAATGCCTTTATCAGGAATGGGATCAATTAAACAGGCAGAGCAGGCTGTCACAAATTAAGAAGCCTTCCTACATTTTCTGTCTGGCATGTGTCTCACTCCCTGACTTACGAGGCTCTCACCAGATGAGGCTGCCTGACCTCTGGCTTCCAGAACCTTTAGCCTTTAAATAACCTTTCTATATAAAATCAGGAAGCCTCAAATGTTCTGTTACAGCACCAGCAAAGAGACCAAGATTCTGTCTCTCCTCTCCTTCTGAGAAACAGGCACAGTATCTTCTGTGCCTTTTCTAAGCGAAGAACCAATGGGGTGGCTTCCCACAGGTTACCTGGAGCGCTCCTGCAAGCAGCATTTTCAGGATGGGGCCAAGGCAGGGCTCCACTTTCCTGACATAAAAAGCCAGCCTCCCCTTCCTCACCACCTCTTCTTACTTTGTCAGCAGCTGTGAGGCGGGTCCACGGCTTGTCTGCTCTACGGTCATAGTCCTGGGCATCTGCCACCTCCACATAGTCACTGAACCGGATGAGGATCTTCCTCTCTCGAAGTTCTTCCACCGTGGGCCTTTGACTGAGCTGCAAGGAGAGAGAAAGTGGGGCCCAGTCAACAGAGGACTTTAGACCACAGTTTCACTTGGGAACTTGTAGGTGTGGAAAGTGAGCCCAGGAGGACAACTGATACGTTATATAGCAAGATGGAGTAGGAGGCAGAACCCAGAGTGCTCAACTCGGGATTCTGAGAGCTTCATTGTCCCTTTCAACCTCTCAGGTTTATACAGATGACAACAGCCTGTCCTTTATCATTCTGCTTTCTTGGCCTGATAGAAAGCCTGGTTGTCTGTGTACTACCGTGTGAGTGCCTGCCGTGGATTTTCAAGCACCTCAAGCAATGATTCTGTCTAAACTTGCATTGCTGAGCCCACATCTCTGTCATAAATTTGGTGCTGTTTGCAGAATGGGTTTGTAACGCATTGTATGTGTGTGCGCACACGTATACATCACGTATACACAATACCCCTGTGTGTCTACAGACACATATATGTGCCTGTGTGTTTTAGACACAGAGAAAAGCAGTTTAAAACGGTATGCAGCCTTTGGGGTGTAAGGGGGTGGGATATGTTGATTTAGGAGTTTCTGGAGTTTCTCTTAGAAGGTCGTCTGCAAGGTTAGTGAGCCAATGCAGAGCTGGGAAATGCCACATTTATGCCATGGAGAACAAACTTTGTGAGGAAGGAAGAATAAAATCCTATTTATTTAGTCACCTCCTGGTATTCCCACTGAGCACGTTTCCTCTGTCCCTTAACAATACAAAGTTGACATTTCTATTATCTTTCCTGTCACAAGCTTATTTCTTCTGGAGCAACACAACCACTCCCTTTAAGATGCTGTCAAGCCATGTTCAACCAATGTTACTTAAAAACAATTTTCCTCCAATCCCTAGACTGTTGACTGCTATTAATAGAAGAGGCAGTCAAATGAAGTCTTACAGCTCTGGTCTGTAAAACAAACAACAAATCCAAATTACTCTGGCTGTTTTGACTGCCACGCAGCCCTCTGCCTGATGCCCTTGGCTGGAGCTGGAATGTTCCAGTGTGCTGCTGTCATAGCACAATGAGATGACGGCCTGCTGCCATTAAACAGAGCTTCCCGGGGGCAAGCACAAGGGTTGGACTAAGTAGGCCTGTGGCTCCCTTTTGGCTAAAAGAGGAAGTTCCAGGGATCAGAAGCCTAATGATTGTGGAACTGGTCCATGCCTAGACCAGTAGTGTTTTTAGTCTGTGCTGAGGCACCAGGGGTTTTCTGAGGGCTAGACACTTTGGCATCTATGTTGTTTGTCATAAGAAACTATAGTTTCCCAAGCTCTGTGGCCAAGGTTGCTGGAAATTAAAAAGATGGCCATCTTGGCATCAAAATGTTCTTTCTGAAATATGAAAACTGACAGAATTTGTACTGAAGTTAAAAATAAAACATTTAATTTTTATCACATTCACCCAAGATAAACAGAATCAAGCTCTCCAATTTGTGGTCTTCCATCCAGTTACCTCAGGATGTTAGATGAGCAGTGTTAATTTTTGATGTTTGCTACATCCTAAGCAAGGGTTCTTAAGCCATGACTTCTGAATTTATCTTCCTGGAAACCACACACTAGGCTAGCTGGGTGTAGTATTCCACGTCTTCAATCTCAGTACTCAGGAAGTTAAGGCAAAAGGATCTAGGGTTCAAGGCCAGCCTGGGCTACATGGTGAATTCAGGGCTAGTTTGGGCTACTCTAGCAAGAGTCTATCTGTCCCCTCCCCGGCTTCAATAAAGTAAATGAATAAATAAAAGAAATCATGATCTAGAGTTTACCAGTTGCCCATCTAACAGGAGAGAAGACTTGATGATGGAGGGGCTCAAGGGCAGGGTGATGAGGGGCTCAAGGGCAGGGGTGATGAGGGGCTCAAGGGCAAGGGCAGAGGTGTTGGAGGGGCTCAAGGGCAGGGGTGATGAGGGGCTCAAGGGCAGGGGTGTTGGAGGGGCTCAAGGGCAGGGGCCGCTTTTCATGCCCCCAATCCTGTGTTCCTCTCACTCTAAATCAAATCAGCATGGTGTTGTGCTCATGCTCTGGGAGGGGGCAAGTAAGGACAGTACAGATTGTTGTGCTGGGGGTCTTGGGTAGAACGTGGACCTGGATACTAGTCAGAGTCTTCCAGAACTCTCTTCCATGTGTGCAAGCTCAGAAGATGCACTCATCACCCTTAATATCCAGAGCCCGAGGTCCTCTCCAGATGCTGAGGAGATAATCTTTGTGGATAAAGTCTAGTTTTCTGAGGAAGATGGATTGAGAGAATGGAAAAGAAGCAGCATTTATAGTAATCTGTGCCAGAAGCATCATGTGCGACCAAAAAACAAAACAAAACAAAACAAAACCAAAAAACAGAACACTGAGCCAACTGAGATCCAAATTCCACCGAAATACAACCTAAACCCCAAATTTACCCCCTTCCTTCCTCCCATCATGTTTACAAGTATGCTTTCAGTTAGGTAGCTGCCCTTTCTTGGAGTTCGTGGCGGTGGTGATGGAGCCCAGGGCCTTATACAAGGGAGGGGAGCACTGTCACTGTGCTAAGTGTCTCCAGCACTTATTTATTTATTTTTTGAGATGAGAGGCATTTATTTATAGCATATAATTTTTATGTTTTCAAATTAGTTAAACAAAATGATTTGGTCTGTTGGTATCAACACCAGCCCCTTGGTTTTATTAATTTTTCACTAGTACATTAAAATTCAATAGAGTTTTATTAAGGAAATCAGGGCTGAGGCTGTAAGCAGCCACCAGCCCTGGCATCTGGTTTTGGTATGATAGAGGCTCAAGGGAAAAGAATTTGCCCAGAGCCCAGGGCAGGCTGTGTGTTTCCCACCTACAGGTGGGCGCCAGTGCTCTGCAGACCCAGAGAAAGATTAAATTTCCGCTTCCCACATTTCCCTTAGACTCCTTCTGGAACACTCATTCCTGCCCTCAAGGTCACTATTTTTAACTCCTCTTGGCAGCCCCAGGAAACTGGAAATGCTGGAATCACAGGACCATTCCCCTGGTGGGGGTGGGTGGATGAGGGAGTGAGAGGGTAGAGGGTGGAGTCGGGGTGGAGAGAGAGATGGAGACCAGGAGTGGGGGAAGGGACAATGATGTTAATCCAGAGGCTGTTTGTAGGTAAAATTGCAAGTGTCATCATCTTGGGGGAAAGAGGCCGTGGGAAGCAAAACTTTTGCCCACCTGCTACTACTTTATTATGTAGTTATAGTCAAAGTTCTGTTTGCAAGAACATACAATCTTTTGATAAGAGATAAGAATTGACAGATATCTAAATGCCCCCCACCCCCTTTTGAGACAGGGTCTTACTACATAACCCAGGCTGGTCTGGAACTTGTTATTGTACCCCAGAATGGCCTCAAACCCACAGCAATGCCTTGTCTCAGACTTCCAGAGTCTGGGATAATAAAAGGCACGTACCACCATGTGTAAGAGCTAAAGTCAGCCTATAAGCCCCTCTTGCCTGAGGACAAATTAACTTCCTGGAGTTCTGGGAAATAACAAGCTGCTTGTTTCCATCCCCTAAACAAGTGTGTTTGACCCATCTGCAATGGATGGGCCTGATCACATGTGGAGGTATACAGGCAGGGAAGTGTCAGGATGTATGCTTGCCCCTGATTGGACCTGATGGGAAATGCAATGAATTGTGGGTTTTGCTTTTTTAAGCCCCTGAAAAAGGTGAATCAGGGTCACTACCTGGGATCCCAGAGTGGATCTGATCAAAGTCCATCCTGGTCAGTATTTAATCAAAGCTTGCTTCAGATTTGGCTCAAAACTGTGGAACTGGTTTTTCTCTCTTGAATCTTGGGACTAACACTTTCTACCAAAGACTGGAGTTAGAGCCAAAGTGAGGTAGGTCATTCAGCTCCGATTATAGTCCCCCACTCTGTGTGATGCCAGCCAGACACCCCATCATCCAGGTCCTTGTTTATCTTCCTTCCTTTAATTAGTTTGGCATTTGGCTTGCCACCAGTGTTTGGGATGGTTTGGGGCAGAAAGAGTGTTGAGGAGTAGAAATTACTTCCTGAATAAGTGGCATGGCCTCTCAGGACCTCCAAATCCCATCCTTTATGTAATGTTTCCAGGGGCGGGGGAAGTCACTAATGAACATCTTTAGAATTAATTTTAATGGGTCTTCAACATCTCTAAGGCTGAGCATCCTTTTCTCAAGATGGTCACCGCAGGGGGCTGATTGAGGTAGTGTTATATCCTGTGTGTCATCAATTCATTAAACTTTCAACAGGACCCAAGAATGCTTCCAAGCTTATTACTCAAGGGTTTTTTTCTTCTGTTCAAGAGGCCATTCAAGTTTCAGAAGATCTGTGGGTCTATACAGCATAGCAATATCCTCTATTTGGGGGATTTAAAATGTAGTCAAAACCCAGCTGTATGAGTTTTAAATGCTTTTCAAATATCTTCACTAAATGGATCAGTACATTTTTTTTTTTTTGTATTTCCCTGTTTTGCTGATCCAATAATTCCAACTGAATTTAGCAGAAGACATCAAATAGTTCTTAAATTTCAACAGGTAGTAACGGGAACAACGAAAGTTCATGATGCCCTACAATCATAGCAAAAGGCAAGATTGTTTTTAAGCTACTATTTTTAACATTGTTTTGTTTTTCAGACAAAATGGCCCACAACTCATTCTGTGTAGCTCAGACTGGCCCTGAACTTGAGATGATCTCAGCCATATGAATGCTCAGATGAGACGTGAGTCATGCTCAATACAGACATGCTCAATACAGACATGCTCAATACAGACATGCTCAATACAGACATGCTCAATACAGACATGAGTCATCATGTCCACATTGAACTACTAAATTTCTTTGTTTGAGACAGGGTCTCACTATGTAGTTTTGGTTGACCTAGAACTCTCTATGTAGACCAGGCTGGCCTTGAACTCACAGAAACCTGCCTGCCTCTGCCTCCTAAGTTCTGTTACTTAAGGTATGCATCACTAAGCCTGGTAATTCTTTTCTTTTCTACTCATTTCTTTTCTCTTCTTTCTTTCTTCCTTCCTTCCTTTCTTTCTTTTCTCCTCTTTCTTTTCTTTTTTTTTTTTGAGACAGGGCTTCTTTGTGTATCCCTGGCTGTCCTAGAATTCACTTTGTAGACTAGGCTGGCCTTGAATTTACAGAGATTTGCCTGCCTCTGCCTCCCAAGTGCTGGGATTAAATGTGTGCAACACCACTGCTCAGCCTCTTGCAATGTTTTTTATTTGGTTGAACTACTGACTTATATAATGAGTTTCCAATGGTGTGGTAGGGATAAAATACACATAACCTATTTTTTTAATTTAATTTTTGTTTTTACTCAGTTACTTTTATGTGCATGGGTGTTTTGTCTGCAGATACAGCATGTGTGTTTCTGGTGCTCACAGATGCCTGGAGAGGATGATGGCTCCCTTGAGACTGGAGTTACAGCTGAGTTGACCATTATCCCCAAGAAAGGTGTTAGGGGTCTGAGCACTCTGGAGACGTCAAATCCCTCAAGGTTCCTAGAAGCTAAGGTGTGTGAGCAGCTCTGGGCATGGGGAAGCACCTTACCTTTCGAGTCAGCCTCCTTTTAATTTCACGCTTCTCCTCCTGCTCTTCTTGTTCATTCCGAGCTGAAAATATATGGAAGATGCTCCTGATTACCGTGCATGGTATATCAGCTACACCCAGGTGACCCTCTGAGCTTTCGCAGGCTCTAGTCCAAGCACTTAGGTTCTATTCCCTGGCTATGCTTGAAGCGACTTGTCTTCATCTTCCTGCATCCTTTTAAATTGGTGAGAAGTGAGTTGACTGAACTTTTTTTGCATTGTTGTTATCTTGGGCTTGGGGCCCAGGCAGAGATGCTGGGATGAGCCATGTGTGGGAGAAGTGTGGGAACACTCCTGGCCGTGACAAGCATTTGGGGAGAATTGGGATGCCTTCCTTGAGAAAGGTGTAAACCTTATGCCTCTTAGAGCCTCTCAGAGGCTGAAAGGGCTCATTGTGTGTGGTCCTAGTGACCAGAGCCCTGTAGGGTGGGCGAGAAGACATGCCTCCACCTGCTGCAAGAATGACATAGGACAGAGTCAACAGCAACCTGAAAGGCCGCAAGCAGTGGCTTCAGAGCTTTCACCTTGCACAAGCCCTCATTCCACTAATTCTTTAAATCTTCCAAGAAGCCCATAGAACCTGTGTGAGCCCAGAGTGTGGAATACAAGTGCTTGCATTTGGATTTGGAAGCAGTGTCTTAGGAGTACACTTCAGAGACTAAATATTCCCATATTAATATTAAACAGAGTTGTCTGAGTTTAAAGAGCCATGGTAAGGGCCTGGGGAAGGGAGTAGGAAGAAGGGCAGAAGACTTGGGCCTTTTCTCTGTGTGGACTAACAGAATGACTGTAAGCAGATCATCATTTACCTTCTAGACTTTGGAAGAGTTCCTTGTTCTCTGTGGAAGCACATTCATCAACATGGTACCATCTGATTTGAAAAATACCACGAACTCCAACTAGTGTCACAGAAGGCGTAAGATCCTCAGCCATGGGCTTAGGAAAGCATCAGCAAAAGTAAACTATGGGTTGATTTGGACACAGTGTCCATTAAGCTTGCACGGGATACCTACATTATCATTTTGTAATCATGGTTGTCAAGCAATGTTTCTGCTACTTTATTATCATAGTCCATGGTTATAATTTGGTTGTGACCTTCCAAAGGTCTCAGTATTGGGTAGGTCTTTCAAAGAAAGAAATCCCAGTGCATAGGAAATGAGGTAGGGAGTGTGTAATTAATAGTCTTGCTTTCCCCTCTTGCCACCCTAGGGAAGTCAGCAATAGACAGTTATAGCCAGCTGTGACCAAAGGTGGGTAGCAACTTTTTCTACCAACAAAGGGTGACAATTCAGAGCAGGACTAAGAGCCCAGAGTGACATTCCCAGGGTATGATTTTGTGTTCCTGCTTGCCTATGAGTCCTCCTGTGGAATGGGCCATGAGAGCTCACTGGATTTAACAACCCTACTTCTTCCTGGAGTTTCCTTATAAAACACACATTTCTCTTAGCTAAAAACCTATAGTAGCCATTACTAGCTTAGTATGAATGAACCTATCACAGGAATATTGAGAAGCAGGTAGCAAGACGCAGAAGAAGGGAAACCTGAAGACTGACATTTAAAAAAATGCAAATTACTCTGTGATAAAATCTGGGAAAGTAGACAGTGGTTAACATCTTAGTATAAATCAATCTATCCAGACTCATTTTGGAGGCAGACACCAGGCAGCCTTGCAAAGGGAAGGAATGATAGAAGGAAGGTAGTTGTGCAGTCTGCCCTAGATGTGGCTTGAGGGCTCCATGTTGAAATTTAGAGACCATGTAGGCTATCATTCTGGGTTTCCAAATGAAGCCACGAAAGCCTTAGGAGATGAAGCCACCAGCCACACCAGACATGGCTCACCACTCAAACAGTTCAGACCTCTGCTTTTTCCTGTTGTCACAACTTGCTTGAGGCTCGTCCTCCTTTTCATTCCTGGGTCTGACCTCATTCCTGACCTAGAGGCCCCTTCCGAGCCATGAGGATGGATGTTCTGTACCGGAGATGACACAGCCCAGGAGCCTTCATCTCTTAAGTAGGTTCTTAGGCCCTAAGAGGTACGGGTCATAAACTACCCCCTATGCTGTCCATATCATTATTCAAAGCCATTTACAAACCCAGTGTCATGAATTCTCAGGAAGAGGATGCCAAGGCAATCCCACTAGGCAACTGAAAAAAAAAAGAGGCTACAAAAGTCTGGTGATGTCATCGTCATGGTACCCACTCGCCCCGGAGTTCATTATGTGCTCAGATAAACAGGAGGGCCTCATTGGCTACAGAACAAAGTGAGGGTTTGCTTACAAGCCTGGGCAGGGTGGGACTTCAGACCAAGTCTAGCTTCTGCCTCCCCACGTCTCCCAGCGTCTCTCCCAGTTTAAAGCCCAGAAGATAAGTTGTAGATCTGATTGTTTGGGGATGTTTTTGAATACCGCTTGACATTTCTTACATAATAATTAAGTTGGTAAGGGGTGTGGTGGCACTTGCAATCCCAGCACCGGGGAGGTGGAGGAGAAGGATTCAGGGGTTCAAAGTCATCCTTGGATATATGTCAAGTTTAAGGCCAACCTGGACTACAGGAGACAAACAAACAAAACCCAAAGCTAGAAGAGAAAACCACCCCTCCCCCCAATAAGAACAAGAGCAACAAAAAATTTGATTAGATAATAAACAGAAGACAAATTTAGAAAGACAAATGGCTGATACACAAGGAAAGCAGGTCCATCTCTGAAAGGTTTGGAAATCAAGAGATAATCCATTTGAATTTGGTTAAGTGTAGCCTGAGTTTGTAGCTGTTTTATCAGGAAAATGTAGAAGGAATTTGATAAAGCACAGGACAACCGTACAGATTCTCTTTTAGTCTCCCTGAGTTGCTTAGACTCAGGGAAGCCACCGTAAAACAAAACTATCAAACATACAAAAACCAGTGCGGGGCATCTGGCTGTGATGTTCTGGGATCTGGGCCAACCAGAGGTGGGAGCCAGATGTGAGGGCAGGGGAATCCTCTCTCCCTGAGCCTGGCTGCTGCTGAGGCACACAGTATTTACAGAAACCTAAGCAAGGGCCTGGGTGTGCAGTGCCTTGGTGCTCGAGTTTCAAAGCTCAGGACAGCTGCAGTGGAGGAGTGGAGGAAGCTTTTATCTGATTTCTGATTTGAGGAATCAAGAGTTCCCTACTCTACTTTTCAGTTCTCAACAACAAAGGAAACTTTATAATGGACCAGATGTCTGCATTGGGCAAAAAGGAAACATCCCAAGGGCCAAGACTTGCCCAACTGACAGTTCTATGCCATCTATTGTACAGAAGAATACATTTAGACACTTTTGTTTTGAGATGGGGTCTTGCTATGTAGCCTAGGCTGACTAGAACTCACAGTCTGCCAGTTATATGAACAGTCTAGTGCTGGGATTACAGGTATGTGTTACCATATTCCCAAAAACTTTGAAACTTTGAACGACACTCACTGGTTTAAAGGTAAATTGAGGCTGGTGAGATGGTTCAGTGCCTAAAGGTGCTTGCCACTGAACCTCTGACCTCCACATGAGTGTTATAACATAGCTCCTCCCCACCAATCAATTAAATGAATGTAAGAGAAAAAATTCTACACACAAACCCCTAGACACCTTGCTGTTCTGTAAAGCTTACTCTAGACTCAGGAGAACTGGTCCTGAGACCAGCCTGCTTTGAGCTTGGGAAGTTTAACAGTAGCCTTGGAGAAAGAATGCAGGACTCTGAGACAGGCAAGCTGATGGGCACCTACCTATAGGGGCTGCAGGGCCTGTCACAACCTTCCCAGGCAAATCACTGACAATTGGGAGGGGGGGGATAGAGAAGTGCAATCAGAAATGAAATTATTTAAGTGGAAATAACCAGTTGCCTAGAGCAAAGTCTCATTCATGTGATGTGTAAACAGACACACACACACACACACACACACACACACACACACACACACACACACACACGCATGCACGCACGCACGCACACATGCACGCACGCACGCACACATACACACACACACCTCTAAGACACTTCCTAATATCTAATTCTTTTTTTTTTCTTCTGGAGAGAAATTAGAAGGGCTTTTGGGGCCTAGAGAAAAAGAATCACCCTTTAAAGTAAACGTATTTGTTGGTTGTATTGAGGAAACTGTGGGTAAAGACGGCAGCAAGGGTCCAGTGGGTGTGGTTTCATCTGTAAAAATTACTGATTATTTTCTGCTAACCTGAGGCATACTGGGGGGTCTGCTTTCTTTCACCATTTTGTATTCTTTGTCTTAGTACCAAGTGGATTCTTTGTACAAATTTAAATACACTTTGTGTCCAGAGCTGAACAAGGGGCCCAGTTTTTCCCTGTTCACACCCAGCTTCCCGTGAATGAGAGCGTCATGAAAGCATGCCACTGGCTAGGTCAGTCTCAGGAGGGCAGGATGAATGTTCACTCAGTACTGCTTTCTCCCACTGCAAAGCTGGTGCTCAGGGGGCTGAAATTTCCTAACCCATAACCCAGAGGTCAGTGGCATAGATCATCCCCAATTTTGCAGAAGAAGCATCCTTGGTTTCTATGAGGCTTCCTGCTGGAGAGGTTTTCAGCGCTTCCATGGGCCCCTGGGAGAGACCTGGTAATCCACTATGCGGCCACCAGGAAGGCTGTCCTGAGTGTCTGGTCACCCTGGGCTTGGTCAACTTACGTTTCAGAATGTTCCGCTGCTCCAGTTCCTCTGCGGTGGGTCGCTGGCTCAGCCGCCTACGAAAAAAATCCAGGAAAAGTTTTTGGACCATGTCATATCCTTCTGGGGTTGGTGGTCTCCACGGCCCCAGCAGATACATCAGGCAGAGTCAGCAGCTGGAGTCCTCTGTCCATCCTGTGCTCTGAGACACTGACTCGCTGCCAGCGCCTCCTAGGTTCCTCAATTTCAAGCCCAGGAAGGGCACCCTGCATCAGGTCACGCAAAGCTGCCCTCCCTCCCTCTGTAGGCCCCTCCCCAGTCCTGCTCCTCCAGTGCCCCCAGGCCAGGAGACCGAAACTTAGCTGGGCCTTTCCTCTTCACAGAAGTCCCTTTCTTTCCTTGTAGCCTCCCGACTGCAGGGCTGTGTGGCCTCTTGCCTTTCTCTCTCTGCCTCCAGGCTAGTGCTTGCTTCTTGCTACCTTTGTGCACACCCAGAACACAGAGGCCTGTGGCCTGGAGGACATGCAAGAGAGGGTGTCTGTCTGCAGAGAACAATGGCTACTCTTCTTCCTGTCTCCACCCATCTCCACCAGAGCCTTATTAGACATAGAATGCCAGATGAGCAGGCACAGAAATGACTCCTATTACCGGGTGCATAATTAAGTCATAGAGAATGCGGCATCATAGCAGAGGCAGGAACTTCTGATGGGGTCGTATGGAGAAGGAGGGACAAGCACTGGTGACAGGTAGTGACAGAAGTCACTAGAGACCCACATACTTAGACATCTACATAAAGTTCTGGGGCTGGGCGTGGGGTAGAGATCATACACAGTGGCCCTGATTGGGAGCAGGGGCATTTTTGTTTTTCAAGCTTTTGACAGTCATTGAACAATCCCGTAGTTATTTAGCATATCTGCTTCACCCACTAGGTACTAATAGGGTGTATGCAAAATGAATATTGTGGAAGGAATTCTAGGCTCCTTAAGCGTCTTCTACTGGGACATAATGGGCAGAAAGGCACACTTTCCTAATTGTACAGTTGTAGTCAAATTTCTGAAACTGAGGTCTGTAGTTGGAGAGATGTTTAAGAGAGACCCGGGATGTAAGAAAGTTGTCAGGATCAAGGAGTTGCTTTGGATAGTGCCCTAGCAACAAGTCAAGCCGGATGCTATGGAGACTGCAAAAATCACAACCTCTTACAAAGGTACCACAGATCTCTAAAGCAGTCTTCACTTGCCTTTAAAATCTTTCCCCTGCCTCCACTTCCTTCAGTGCCATAGTTCACCATGGCATCTATGTTTTCACTGCAACGTTCTGCTATTCCCAAATAGGTAACATTATTGTTTGGTGACTCTGATTGTTTATTTATGCTGACAAGTGCAATATAAAATCTGTGGAGCCTCCAAGTATAACTATTTCAAATTCAAGTTTTGTTATTTGTGAGCCTGACAGTACCTTGAAACTGTTGGAAACTGTATTCTAAAGTGTTTTCAAGTTTGTAAGACTATTTTTACATTTCTTATTTTTCTCTGCAAAACAGCTCTGTAACATACTATGAAGGAGATATGGTCTTTGATCCTATTTCTTATCAAGGAGTTCCTGAACCCCTGGGACTTCCTACCACGATTAACCTGAATCCTCTGGAACTTTGATATTCCAAATGAGTTCCTTCAGATCACATAAAAATTTATGCTAACGAGACAAGCTAGTGTGGGACCCCTAGGTAGCCTCTGGAGGGGACTGGCCACTAGAAAGACCATGTAATTAGAAGGTTGAAGCTCATGAAAACTTAACAATGAGATACAATGTGTAACACAAATAATAAAAACCCAGAGACAGGTACTGGGGTTCAAGCTGAGGGTCAGCTAAGCAAAGCAGCCTGTCACTAGCTCTTACTCCACCCCAGACTGAAAGGGTGATCCAGCTAGCTCCACGAATCCTCAGACTGCAATACCAGACTTCTGCCTCTCTGCAATGTGGCTAGAGAATAAATCTTCCAGGAGACCCTTTTATATCTCCCTAGTGATGGGATTAAAGGCGTGAGATCCCACATGCTGAGATCACCTTTGTTTGAACTGTTTCTCTCTAGGACTGAAGCATTTTCTTACAGTTCAATGTGACCTTGAACTTACAGAAATCCATCTGTATGTCTCTTGAGTCCTGGGATTAAAGGTGTGTGCCATCACTACTTGGTTCTATGGCTTGCTAGTATGGCTGCTGGGATTAAAGGTGTGCATCACCATTGTCTGACCTCTATGACTTGTGGCTAGCTTTTGCTTTCTGAACCCTCAGGCAAACTTTAATAAATCATAAATAATATCTCCCCACACCAATGAGCTTCTAGGTTGCTGGACTCCTGAAGGAGACTTCTAACCCTTTCCCCTACCCATCTCTCAGTTATCTAATAGTTCAACTGTATTCCATTTTTCTTTGCTTTGGAGACTGTCCTGGCACTCACTCTGTAGACCAGGCTGGCCTTGAACTCATTGAGTGATGGGATTAAAGGCATGTGCCACCAACGCCCGGCCTCCATTTTTCTTTTCACTACAAAGTGACCAATATAAGTATGGTGTTTCTGAGTTTTGTAAGCCATTCTAGAAAATTAACCAAATACACATACTAAATAAATTAAATGTAGTAAAAAGATTGCTTATAGAGACAATATTTTATTTCAAGACTTGCCTCAAATAAGAAAGTTAAAAACTATAGATGGACTATAGTTACTTAGGGCCAAAGTGCTTGTGACCTTTGTGTTTCATGCTATCAGCATTCCTCTCTCACCCCTAAACCAGAACAATGCTCCCCAGAAAGCCCCTTAAAGTTTGTTACAAATAGGAAATTCTTAAACAGAAATAAGTAAACCAGTTCATATTTTTATGCTTAATTTTTAAACTGCGTTTTATCTTTTTATTGGCTGTAAATTCTGCTCTTTTTGGAAGCCTGTAGGATTGTGTATATATAACCCTTGGAGATGCCTCTTCTTTTTCTCTCTCCATTCATTGCTCTTCTCCCCCCCCTGTTGCTCTTTCCACACATAGACAGACATACAACCCCCCCCCCACTCACTCAGGAACATGCACACTTAAATCTAACATGTGTGGTCTCTAATATCTACTTAACAAACAAGCCGACTTCGCTGCACCCTGGCTCATCCTGAGATCCTTTTCTGTGTGCTCAAGAACCAGTTTCATGCAGTGGAGGCCCCTGGAGGAGGAACCCTTCTGGCTTTGGACTGAATTACTCTATCACCCCTGACAGATATGGGAACTGGGAATAGTGGCAGTACTTTTTTCCTCTATTTTTTTTTTTTTTGACTCTGCTTCCTGGTTCCTACAGCACCACCAGTGGGTGCTGTGTATATAGATGTGACGTTTAATGCTGATTGTCAATTTACCAGGATCTAGATTTACCTAGGAGACAAGCTCTGAGCATGCCCTTTGAAGGGTTATGTAGATTAGATTAGCCTTTGAGTAAGCTTGTGAGGGATTAGCTAGCTGGATTAGCTAATTAGGTTGATTGACAAGAAGATACACCTGAACTGTGGGTGGTGTCACTCCTTGGGCTGGGATCTTGGACTAAATAAAAGGAGAAAGTGACCTGAGCAAGCAGTTTCTCTCTACTTCCTGACTGCAGATGCAATGTGACCAGCTCCCTCAAACTCCTGCTACTGTGAATTAATTCCCTGCCATGATGGGCTGTACTTCAAAGCCAAGATAAACCCTCATTCCTTCAAGTAATTTTGTCAGAACAGTGAGGCAAGTGACTAATACAGCCGCCTTCCTTATCCACAGGAGGGATATTCCAAGACTCCCAGTGCACAGTAGAAACTGAGATACGTCTGAACTTGACATACACTACTCTCCTGTGCATATCTATTATATAGCTTAATGAATATATTAACTCTAAGAAATTAACAATAATTGCTAATAGAGTAATTGCAACAATGTACTACAACAAATGTTAAGTGAATATGACCTTTCTCTCCTTCTCAAAATGCTTCATTTGGCTGTACAGGGCTTGAGGCTGACTTTGGGTAATAGGAACCATACAAAGTCAAATCATGTATGCCGGGGACTATTTAACCCAATGAAAAGGACTCCAAGATTCCTTCTGAATGAACTGTATTTTCTTTAGCCCTACTGTGCTGGTAGATTTAACTAATTGCATCTGACTTAGAGTCACGTTAAATTATAAAAAGAAATTTCCTATCTATATCTGGATATTTACATTAGGTGGATAGGGAAATCTTCAGAGCTAAACTGGTGAGTGGGAGAGCCCTGGTACTCAGGTACTCACCAACTCACTCCCTAGTCTCTAAAAGAGCATGGCAAACAATCTACTCACTTAGTAACTAACATAGATCTGTCCATCCTGATGTTGTCACACAATACTTGATTTCATGTAACACGCCTGACTTCAACTTCTGGCACTATGCTGAGACCTCCTCCTGTCATACTTCTGAGTTCCTGACCTCTTCAGATTGTCTTCTTGTATTTGACAGTTCACCACATTTAAAGGGCACCCAGGGAATAATTCACCTCCACCTTCTCTGGGTAAACTGCCCTCCAAATAGCCTCAAAGCCCATTCCCAGCAAGGTACCCACTCAGGACCGGTAATGGCCACCTTGCTTACTGCTGTGATGACTTGGCTCTCAGGCTGGGTTAATTACACTGATGCTTATTTAGCTTACAGTTCTGGGGTATCATATCAGCAGGGTCTGCCCAGCCTATGGTGAGGATCTTCCTGCTGGATCATGGCATATGTGCAGGGCATCACCTGGCCAGACAAAGCAATCTGCTAACGTCAGTCCTCCTTTCTCTTCCTATGAAGCCACTTATATACTCATGGCAACCCCACTCTGTGGCATCACCTAATCTTAGTTACTGCCAAAGGGACCATCTCCAAATGCCTCTAACATATGGCTTTAGGGATTCAGTTTTGGTGTGAGTTTTGGAGGGGATGAACACCCAGATGAAAACTATAGCTGGTCAAGCAACAATCCATCTTCCATCTCTTTTGATCTCACCACTGTGGGAAAGCAGCCCGCTGGCATCTCTCCTGGCTGTGCTAGATGGT